TAATGATGAGCATGGTTGCAATCAGAAGGAGATGACGAGTTCAACCATGGTCCTAGAAACCATTTTCATGGCCGGTAGAAGATTTTTGAACAAGCACGACTTGTAGTGACGACCAGCGTCCGTAGCTATAAGTGTTGTAGGGTTTTAGCAACGGATGGAGGAATGGGATGATGCGTTGTCACCCCTCTGTTGTCCTGTTCAAATTCCGCGCCAAAATTCCACTAATGCATTTGATTTCTTATATTATTGTTATTTTGTATTTTGTTAACAAATATAACAGCATAGCCCAGCGGTCACCACGTTAGCGTTAAGGCATTCAGAGGCTGGAGGTCAGGGGTTCGATCCCTGCCTCCAGCATTTGTTATTTTTCCAATTTCTTTCAGGTAATCATGTGCACACATGGGCCAGATTTCCACCATGGACATTCATTATCAAAGCGCCAGATGGCCAGATCTAGTGGTCAGGCCTTGAAGGCACACCTTAAGCCAGTCAACGCTCATGCATTGGATCACAAAAAGTCAAAATGGATCAGCATATTTGAGCCAAATCTCTTGCTATTTACACCCTCCAATACCAGGCCCATTCTCACTCTTTTTTTATTTTGTTCATTTAATTTAATTACTTTATTTTATTTAATTAATTTACTAACCAATAACAAATTTTCTTTTTTATCAAAAAATCACCAAAACATTTTTTGTCCAATTAAAATTCTAGAACTTTTTTTTATTAATAAATACTAATTAATTAATTAGGATATTAATTAGGTAACCTTAATTTGTTTTTGTAAATAAATAAAATCAATTAGAAATCATTAGGTTTTAATTCTAATTTAATTATTTTAATTTCTTTTCTTAAATGAACAAAAATTCTAAAAATATATCATTTATTATTTTTCATCAATTAATTTATTTCATAATTAATTTAGTATTTAATTTTAGGATTTAATTTCTTTTCTTAAAATAAGAACAACAAAAAAGCATTTTCTTTTAAAAGGGTCAAAACCCTAATTCGCATTCGATTTAATTTTCCTCGTGCTTTATTTTTCTTTATCCAATTAATGTATCTGCTTATGGCTTGTAATAGTTTTAAATAGGACTTTTATTTATTTTTCCCGCTTTTACTTTAATTTCAAGGGGTTGCTTTTGGCGATGTAAATACCCGACGCCTTGTAATTTAATTTCCGCACCTTTAACTTATGCAAATTATACAACTGTTAGATGTTTGATAATAGGGCTTGCATGACAAGAATGAATGCTTGAATTAAAATCAATTAGATCACCCTAAACATGTGCAAAGATAAAAATATCTGAAATCAACACACTCGCACATGCACACTCTTAGGGTATACCCCACTTGGTTGCCTTCGTACACGGTCATTGAGTATAGGTCGTTTTAGAGGTCGTCCTCTTGTCTAAAAGATCATAGTTGCTTCAAAATGGTTGCCTCAGATATTGTTGCCTCGAACAAATGATTTAAGACATTAGGGTTACCGCTAATGCATCCTAACATTGCTTTAGTGACCGTATGTCCCTCTTTCGAATTGACCCTTAAACTCCAACGACGGTGCTACCTACTCACTAATAGTGGGATAGAATTGTCTAAAGGAAATTAGCATAGAACGATTCTTTTTCGAGTAGGTAGGTTAGTTCTTAGATACTTGCTCATCCAAAACAAACTTTTTCTCACACTTACACTCTTTTACAAACAAAGTTTTCAAAAACACTTCATTACACTCTTGAAGACAAAAGCAAGAGTTAAATCAAAGTCAAAACAAAAACTTTTCAAAACGCACAAACACAAAGAAAACAATTTTGAAAATGACGAGCAAGTACCTAAGAGCTCGTAGATAACTACGGATAGAAAGGGTGCTAAAACTTTCCCTTTCTATAAATCTACCCCCCGTACTCAGAAATATCTCGAAAAAAGAATTTTTCTGTGCTTTTTTCCTTTCCTTGTTGGATAAAATAAAAGACGGTGGCGACTCTTGCTTACCGCGACATTTTGCGAATACAAAATGCAAAACGCGAACCAGCATTCCAAAAACAGTCAGTTCTCCCACCGTATCACAACATTTAATCTAGAAAAGCTCAAGAAACATGGTGTTGAGAGGTTCGAACTTACTTGGATGAAGAACTTTAAGGAAAAAACTGAGAAGTTGAGAGGGTCGCCTCACGCCACAAGCGAAGAAAAGCTGAGAGGTTGAGAGAACCGCTTCACGCCGCGAGCAAAGAAAGGATTGAGAGGAAACTTGAGAAGGTGACAAATGAGTTCCAAGGGCCCCCTTTTTATAAGCGACCCACGCCCCAAGGGATCCCACATGAAGGGTCATCACCTCATTGGCCCCTTTTGCTTTTTCCTTGAAGGGGTGGCACCCCAAAGCACTAGCCACGTGGCTCAACTATCAAATACGAAGTCCTTTCTGGACTGGCGAGCATATACCTGACTCCTACAAGTCACCTACAAACGTAGGGGGCAAACACTTACACGAGGAAGTGCTCGA